TACAGTTAGAAAATAAGATGGGATTTAGCAAAATAACGCCAGTTAAGATAACATTCATGGCGCATTATTTCAAATTTTCTGAAGCGCATGAGGCAACTCATAATGTAAGTTTCATATGCAGGCAAAACAGAACATTTTTATCCAGTCTTGAAATCAGGCTCGATTGATAAACATTACCGAATATTCTCAAGTTCAATGGTCACAATGTTAGTTCACCTATTAAATCTCCACTTGTTAGGACCGGTGAATAACCGCACTCAAGTTCCAATGACAGACCTTCCCGACTGGGAGTGTGAGATAGATCCACCTAACAATGACATCTAAGGCGCAATCTTAATTTAACTGGAGACGCCGAAATATAACATTCTTTTCAGATTTCGACATAATCACAGATTCCTATGACAAGTTGGTCTTTCGAAACTTCATGGAGAGCTCCAGAATAATTGCTTGCATAAGGAGCCCTCCAATCACAGACCACTACCTACCCACAGAAAAGTCATCCAAGCATTCAGGGAACTGTGCATTTTTTTGAATTTCACATTCTATTTTGTACATTCCTTCTCTGGATCTGACTCTTCCATTCGCAGTACCTACACCTATGACCATTAACGCCTTAATCCTCGCACCTTTTCTCTACACACATAAATTCCCCACCTTCTGTGATAGCACAGTCTATGAATAATCCTATCAGTTTATTTTGCTCAACTTGTTTCCGATTCTGTCGGATTCTTCACTTAAGATATAAAAAACAAAGATGGTTGGCTTGTGTTTCAAATAAGCCAGCTTGCCCCTCTCTGACCATGTATGATTTAATGAGTCCTTTAAAACACAAATGAACAGTTTTTGTATCAGAGGTCCCCAAAACTGCAGCCAGACAATACGGTGTTGGGAAATAAACTGGTCCTTTGGTATTTTATTAATCTATGGTCACTACTTTTTACCGTTTCATGTTTTTATCTTTAAAGTATTCTCCAAATCTTATTTTGTTCCTTCAAACTGTGTACAGTACAACAATTTAAAGAGAGATATGCATTTTTTACGGTTGTAATCAACATTCGAAGCATTTAGGCAGTTGTTTTAGTGGGCTACATCGGTTAATACACAGGCTAAGGTATAATGGTAACCCACGTACACAGCTACGCTAGAACCACTAAAGAAACTTGCAGCTG